ACTGTTCATACATACTATTCCGCAGTGTTGGACGGATGTCGAATGTGCCTAAAATGTGTTCAAAAGAATGCTTGATTTTTTTTTCTTTTCTGCCATATTCCGTGCTAGCCGAACGTGCGTTTACATTTAGGCCGAATTCATGCTTCGACTTTCCCTAATTGTGCAATCAACACCTCTTGCGAAATTCAGACTATGAATCAGGAATGTGAAGACGAACCGGCTATCCCTTTCGCTAAAGGTCTAGCAAATTTTTACCAGTTGGCTGATTTGGTCTTGCTATTGCAAAATATCTACGGAGAGGTTTGAGGCCTACTCACTAACTATGTAGTAGTGCCATAGTGCATGAAAAGAAATGCTTCATTGGAACCAGTCTCATTAGTGAAATGCTAATTGAACTTAGTAATTGTATTGTAACCAACTGATCCTCATGGCTATTTAGCGGAAGGATTGCGATGTCGCTTGATGTCCATATTGGGAGTATTGCTGAAACCAATGCGAGGGCGAACTTGAAGTCTAGGCAGGTAAGGAGAGTCTTTTGCGAATCAGAAATATACAAAATTACTGGCATCATTTCATTTTATGAAGCTCGACTTTAAAGTATTTTACTACTTTACTCTAGTTCCCTCTCTTTAGTTGAATGAAGGCTTAGAACGTATTAATTTTAAATAAGTAGTTTTCTGGATTATCAGTAATAATTGAATGAGAACTTAGTCAACTTATATCACTTAAGATTATTTCAGGACTGTTACCCGACTTTTTCCTTGATGAGATGAGTGGCACCAAAAAATCCAGTGAATTTCACTTAACCTTGCCTCCTAACGGCCTATATCATCCCGACGGGTCTGCAGGTGCGACCTTAGCATCACCCTGAGCGGGATTCGATACTGGGTGGTGAGTATCGTGGCAATGCTACCACTCGCCTCCACTCCATGGCTACGACTGCCAGTGGATAGCAGGGCAGATGTAACATTCAAGGCAAGTCAAGTCTCTGAGAACTCACATTTTTACAGTTGGATTGTCCATTAAGCGTACATCTGCTTGCCATTGCAATTAGCGACGCTATTTATTCGCAATTTAATTAGTTTTAGAGACTATCAATAATTCTTTGGTAAAAGCTTTGTCAGCCTAGGCCACTTCAGGTGATTTAAATGCTGATATCTGTGGCCGGGTAGAGGTTTAGAGGTGAAACATCACCATTGTACCCACCACCAGTTATACAATCCTACTGAGGTTTCGGATGAGAGTTAGGCCAGGTCGAAACTCGATCTTGAATAAGAATACCGTTGAGAAGTAAAGATATGTGAAGTTTATTGGCTTCATGAGGCTTGCTCATGCCATTGTGGGAAAACTCAACTATTAATCCTAAAATCACCTTAAGCGATCTAAATGTTTTGAGCTCTTAGTGAAGAATTGGTGATAGTCACAGAAACTACTTATATCGAAAATAAGTAGTCATTAATTATAATGCCGAATGCATGCTGGCCTATAAAATGTGGGTTGTCAGAGGCCGGGCTTGCCGTGGATGCCGTATTTTTTTCTGATAACAACAGGAAATTATGCCTGTGCAAAGATAGGGGAATGGTAGGCATGATACTCACGGCCTATTGTCGAATGCCGCTGGGGGTTCTGAGGAGACGATAAGGCGAGGTAGAAGCGGCAGATTTAGTGGCATCTCGTCTTGGGAAAAAAACTCAGTTGTCGATAATTTACTTGCCTCAGCCGACCTAGGCTGACTGATTTTTCATTAAAAAAATACTGATAATACCGAAAGCTACTCAAATCGAAATTATTAGGCATTATGTTTTTCAAAGCATACACTGTTTGCGCTGTTGCAAAAGAGACATTTCTATGGCAACCAGCAATCTAATCCAGAATGGACAAACGTTTCAACTTCACCCGACTTGAATGATTGCCCTCGACGGACTCGAACAATGGACTTGGAGGGCAAGTGGCAAGCATGCAGACGGCGTGGTCTCTTTTGCATCCCCTCGAGGGGAGTCTGACCCAGGTGGAGTTGGTTTTTCCGGCCGAAACAGTGACCCCTGAAGGGATCTTTAGGGACTGCTTTGTCGGCGTACACAAAGAAAACCTCAAGCCACTGTTGTGGGATTTCCAAGGCTATTCCCTTGTGCGTGGGGAAGCCCGATTAAGGCGATTGTGTCACTGTTTTTTGCAGACTTCCTCAGATGGCTCGGCTCGATGAGCTGGAAACGGCAGGCGTCCAAGGCTCAGGCTTGCTCAGGACAAAAAGACTTTGTCAGCTTGAACCTTGCGTGATGGAGCATGAAGTGGAGCAGTTGACGGTGAGTCGACGGCAAACGAATAGCCAGGATGAGGACAAAACGGGCGGCTGTAGGAGCGATGCCGCAGGAGCAAAAGGGGGGCTGCCGGACAGTTAAGGATGCAGGAGGTCGGAAGTTTACTGGCTGCCTAAAGGCTGGCAGAGGGTGACACGTTTGGCCGAGGCCACGACTCATAGGTCGGCTAGTGACCGGTTGCTTGCTCGAGCCCGATTGTGACTGGCCACTGCCGACTCGTGCAATCATCACACACTCTACAAGTGCCTGAGTCATAAAGTGTGGAAAGGCGAGGAGCTTTTCGGCCTACCCCTTGTCCACTCCAACGGTCATCTAACAATAAGGAATGAAAGGACTGCAGGCGATTCTGCATACAAAAAGTCCGCAATCGCGAAGTGGATGAAGTACCAGACATGCTCGCTTCTGTGATTTTAGCCTCATCCTCATTTGCCCCAATATACTTTTGCCAAAATGAAGGTTTAAGCGTGCATGCGCTGGCTATACGCATAGGCATGCGAAGAAAGCATACATTGTTTTTATGACCATTTTCTATAGCTGGATAGCCATTGATGCTGACTCGTGCAGTAGAGCTGTTTGTTCTCTTGTATGTGCTAATTGTATTGAGGTATTTGACTGTTTGGCTTATGCTGTTAAAGAGACCGATGCCTTGGTGGATAGAGTGCTACTTAGCTATTAGCTAGATTGTTTTTATTAATGTTCCATGGCATTTATTCTAGTAGCTTTAGTAAAAATCCTTTGCTGTAAAGTTTAACGACTCTTCTCTAAGCGGCTATGTTGTCTGGAAATAACTTCAGTTAACAATAGTTCGATGTGGAGAGTAACTGAGTTTCGACGAATGTCCTGAGCTTACATCGTTGGCGAGACTTTCATTCACGATAAAAGTGCCTGAAGAAGAGAGTGGTAGGTTGATGGACGAAAGCTCTGCACTTTTTCATCCGAAACAAGGGAGTATGGCTCGTGAGTTGCGATAATCTGAAAGTCGTATCAAAGCAAAACGGCTGCAGTACAACGGGAATCACCATTCGACTTCTGGTGAGGTCAACCTACGATTCTAATCTTTATGCAATTTAATACGAAATGAAGCTTTCCCCTCGTCGATAACAAAATTTTGTTGTGATCATATGTATTATTTATTAAATAATTAATTCAAAGTTTAAAGTTAAAATATTTTTAACATTTGCATAATTTATTTACATATATAAAATAATATATGTTTATATAATAACCGAATATTATAAAATAAATTACTATAATCATATTATTATTATATTTGTGTATTTAATAACATTTATTAATTAAATTCTACTAATTCCATAATAATAGTATAATATAGTATAATTCTTAGATTATAGTAATATACTAAAAAAATTAAAATATATATTTATTATTTATGATTTGTTTTATACTATAATACTATATATCTTATATCATATATATTTTATTATAACAGCATAATTATTATATTATATCTCATATATAATCTAGATATTATATTGATTATGTAAATAAGATATAATGATAAATGAATAATAATAGAATAATACATATTATATATTATGCATAACAGGAATAAGCACTTGTTTTTTATATAGTTGGGTGGATAAATAAATCAATTTTTACGTTGGATTAGTGGGTTGATAAAGCAAAGCTTTCCTGAGTCCTTTCTAGCCAAGTCCCAGGAATACATTCTGAGGTGATTTTCACAAGAATATTACATAATATTATGAACATACTTGTACTGCTGAATTACCAGTGTTGCAGGAGCACTCTATACTATGGAGAACGCTCTATCCTATCAACTGCTTCTGTGTTTGTTTATACGGGGTGATATTTTGTTACTTGTGATTTTAATTTAACTGATGGTTCATGGTATTTATGATAGTACAAATATTAAAAAGACTTGGATATGTTATTAGCAATAGGCAGGGATTATTTATACAAACAACGCTTCCTTAGCATCATCTCTCATAATTATTAATTACTATATACAAATTTCAAATCTATATTTAAAAATTAAATTAAATGAGCCACAATTTTCTGTCTGACCGGCTTAACCTGCCTGAGCATTCCAGTCAAACTGGCTTATTTAGGGTGGATTAAGGACGGATAATTGGATTTTATCACGACGAAATAAGAAGACCTCACACAAACATTTTGTCGTGCTAACGGTTACTTCATTTTCTCCACTTTTTCACATTCTCATGCAGACTTCGAACGTCGTGTCCTCTACCGTGCCCGGAGACAGTGTTGTCATACGTACTTCATGCATCAGAACATTGATTGGGTACGCTTC